CTCATCGCGATCCTCTCGACGACGCTCGTCGTGCTGCTCGCAGACCTCAACGGGTTTGGGTACTTTTTTCTCAACCTCTTTTTGTCGCTCGTGGCTGCCGAGTCGCTCATGTGTGTCATTGCGGCGGCCGTGCCCCACTACATTATCGGCATTGCACTTGGCGCTGGTCTCTTTGGCATGTTTATGCTCTGCGAAGGCTTCATGGTGCCCCGCCACGCGATCCCCGACTACTGGATCTGGGCCTACTACCTCGCGTTCCACACGTACTCGTTCGAGTCATTTGTGTATACGCATTTCAACCCGATCCAGGCGACCGATGCGACCGCGAAAGCCATTCTGGTGCGCTACGGCTTTCAAGACGTCGACGTCGACCGCAACATGGTCATCCTCGTCGGCTACACGGTCGTCTTTCAGCTGCTCTTTGGGTGGATCTTGTACCGCTTCCACACGGGCCGCCGTTAAAAAGCTGTTCTCCAAGATAGAGTTGTGTATATTGTATCGATAACTGCGCGGGATATAGTGTTTGCATTGGATGATTCATATCTGGATTTTTGTTTGTTAAGATGTGTCTTTGTGCGGACCAGGGTGTTGGAATGCACAACAATGGTGGGATACGAAAACGGGGTTAGGGTTGCTCTCTCGCTTGGTGTTTTAGGCGTATCGACTAGAGCGGACTAGGTCTCTGCGAGTAGCTACGACTGTAGGCAGTGTGGGCAATACCGTGTCGGGAAGCTCAGCGCGTTTGACGAAGTCCAAGCCTGCGCGTTGGGCGAGACGAACGTATAGTCTCGGCCTTTGTCTTTGTAGCCATCAATCCGTTCATTGCTGCGATGTGTTGTCGTGTTTTGCGCTGCTAGCTGGGAGACCAGATCGACTATCCGTGCGTTGTCCTTTGTGCTCAACTCTGAACTCCCACCACGGGGTAGGGTCACCAAAGACGACGTGGTTGGTCGTGCGTTGCACAGGTTCATTCAAGACGACGCTTTGTATATTTGAATCTTCATAAACTTTTACGACATGCAATTTCGATAAACTAGAGCAGGTATTGGAGCGCCGCGGTGGTCATCCCGCCAAGAAAAATGGACGGAAGCACGAGCCAGGACGAGCTCATGAGCATGGCCGTGCCCGAGAGGCCGTGGCCCGACGTGCAGCCGCCCGCGAGGCTTGCGCCAAAGGCAATCATGGCACCGCCAAGCACGGAGCGCAGTGTACTCGGGAACTCTCCACCATGGCCTTCAGGCGACGTAGCTGCATACGATCCGACAATGATGCCGAGCACAAAGAGGGCTTGCGACGCGTCCGCCAAGCGCGGCAACCACGACGTGGGTCGGCCGAGAGCGCAGCAGACCGTGTTCGAGACTTCGCCGAGGGCGATCTTGATGCCGGCGGACGCACCCAGCGACTTGTTCAAGAGAAAGGCCATGGGCAGTTGGAGGGCACCGACGACAGCACCGGCGACGCTCGGGCGCCAAGAGGTCGACGCGCTTGCAAACGTCTCGGGCAGCATCACCTCGAGCATGGCGGCGAGGGACAAGCAGACGACGCCGACAAGACCGTGCGTCAACGGCGCGAGCGGCATCGTCGTAGCGACCTTGGGCTTGTCGGTCTGCCAGTCGGCAATCTACGCGTGCATCATGAGCACCTTCAAGGACGATAGAGCGTACGCGGAAACGAAGGGCGCCAGCGATACTCGCACCCAGCGCTGTCCCAGCGAGGCAAGCGAGTGCGGACGGGATCTGCGCGCCGAGCTGCACGTAGACCGAGCCAGGGCACGAGCCGCTGACCGTCATGCCGGCGCCGAGCACGAGGCCGCCGAGAATGAGAGCGGTCGACGTACTCGGGTTGGTCGCGCGACACGACTGCATGCGCTGGAACGCCTCCGGTTGCAAGGTGCGAAAAACGGCTTTCGAGAGGAACGACATGCCGAGCGCACTCACAAACATCTTCATCATCGTGAAGCGCTGAAAGGCCATTTGCTCCATGATGATCGTCGGGAGGTAGACTTGGCCCTAGTCGATTGCTGTCAAAAGAGAGACAGGTCAGTATAGGGTTGTGTGCCTTGTTCATGGCAAAGCCAAACGCAGCGCCCGTTGTGAGGAGCACGATTGTGTTGCGCGGCGGTGGCAGCGACGGGCCGGCTTGGTGACTCGGTACTTTCATGGCAAATGGAAAATGGATCCAACAAGTGACCGTTGGAAGCGCTTGCGTAGCGCGCGAGCCTGCGTCATCGAAACAGATGCGCCAATCACAGCGTCGAGTCGCCTCGGACGAAGTTGTGTGTATACTACAAACCGTCAAAATAGCAGTCAAGCTTTGCGTGTCGCACCAATGCAAGCATGGCGAAGCTTCTCGTCATACTGAACTGGGGCATCTGGCAGCAAGCAGATGCGTCAAGTAATGCGGATGAGCCATTGCTGATCGATCGATCATCCGTCCCAGTTGGTTGTGGTACATGTTGAGGCAAGATGCAATGTCAACAACTTGCCAGATGTGACGTCGCATCCACGTTCGTTCAATGACGCTAGTGGCGTGCCACACCAAGTCAAGAACTAGTACAGTTCACATGAGCATACACGAGGCTGGTATTATTTAAGAATTTAAGCTTTTTTCTATTTATGCTCGTGCCCCTTGCTCTTGTCGGTCGTCTTGGGCGCTCATTTACCGGCGCCGGCGCTCGGTGCGTCTTGGTGCTGACTCGTGCGCCAGCCCGGGCACCGCTCCGCCTCGGACACGCCTACACGTTCCCTCCAGACAACTAGAGACGAGACGCAACTTGGAGCACGCTCTGGATGTGCTTGCTGGCCGCACCCTTGCCTACAAAACACTCGGTCAAGCTCGGCGCTGCCTCGAAAAAGGACCTACGAGGTGGCTTTTGGCCCGGAGCACGTGATCTTGTGGCACATGTTGCAGGGGCTTTCGTGAAAATCAGAAAGTGGTGCTCTCTCCGGGACTTGAACCCGGATCTACCTGGTGGTAAACCAGTGTCTAAACCGCTAGACTAAAAGAAGTCGACAAGAACACCCCTTCTTGACTGCCTCCCCAATCTCGACGCTCCAGACGCGCACTCCTGGCACAGAGAGTGGGTGGGAGTAGTGAGTGAGGAGAAGAGAGAGTGTCATCTCAAGAAGCCATCTGCCGTCTGACCGCGCCCGTGTAACAGAGGAGAGTGTACTACTGAGTATGAGAGAGAGGAAGAATATGGGATACGCGCATGAGAAATGCGTATATTATTGGGCTCATAACCAATCAGAAAGTGGTGCTCTCTCCGGGACTTGAACCCGGATCTACCTGGTGGTAAACCAGTGTCTAAACCGCTAGACTAAAAGAAGTCGACAAGAACACCCCTTCTTGACTGTGAAAATGAAGTGGGTTCACAGATCTTTTCGCAAAGTAGCTACAGTATCGCGGCTGCGTCGTGTCGATGATCGATCAAGATGATATAGTCATCTTAGTCACGGCGGTTGGAGAACTCGATTTAGAAGGATAGGGTGGTCCTTCATGGACGATGTACTAAAAGGGAATGAGCTTGAAGGTAGGCTGCGTCTGGTGTTGGTAGTCGTGCCACCAAGAAACGCAAGTTCCGAATGTCGGCTGCAGAGGGCGCGCGGTTGATGTTGTGAAACGAGTTGCGAGAAGAGCTCCACGAGTCCCTCCGAAAAAAATCTATTAGGGGCTAGCAAAGCTGCATAGAAAGCCCTGGGCCGCGCTGCGTATCTCTGGCGCCAACCGCCAGGCCGAATGGACGGCCCGCGCTGCCCCGGAGCAGCTGTCTACGAGACAGTGTGAGTAACGTTGGTGACCAATCTGAGTCTGATCGATCAACAAGTCGCCATCACGGTTGCGGGCATCGACATGGCGATGCTTTTGACAAGCGCAAAATTGCCATCACTTCACGTCGATTCTCCACATCAAATAGAGTTTACACGTAGTTAAATGGAAAGGAATAGTGTTTCGTGCATGTTGGCGCTGGA